CCCCGCCCTGAGGCCTCCCCCCCTCTAGGCCGCGTTCCAGAAGGCCGCCGAGGAGGTGAAGCAGCTCAAGTCCCAGCCGACGGACCAGGAGATGCTGGATGTCTACAGCCACTACAAACAGGCCACGGTGGGCGACGTGAACACGGGTAGGTACCGCCTCGGTCCCCCGCCGGGGCGGGGGGAGGTGGCGGCATGGCCGGGCAGTGCTGCTCCCTTCCGTCTCGGGCCCCGCGTTTCTGTGCCAGGGCCCCCGGCGGGCGGGGGCGATGCAGTTACGGCCTGAGGCTGAGCTGGAGGCAGTTCGGGAGGCAAAACCTCTGCCTGTTGCGTGCCTCGCTTCATGCAATCCCCGCGGTTTAGCGAAAAATGACTCAGTACCGACTTGGCACGGATTTATATGGAGGGAGGCGTAAGCTGACCTGATAAGGGTTGGTGCAATTTGTGGTTTTTCAGTTAACCCAGTTGCAGCCATCTAAATCGGATAGCGACGGCCTGAGAATCTTCTGTGTTAGCTTTGTGCAAATATTGGGTTGGGGATTTTAGGAATCTCTATGGGGAAGTAGCTGCCTAGGTCAAGGGATGCTGCTTTCATACAAACACTTCTCGGTTAAACAGGCTTAAACAGCGAGGCAAACTGTACAAATGCGGAACTGTAATACTTGACGGGGGGGGGGGCGGTTTGTTTAAACTGGATTTGCTCTAAAAATAGTGTTGGAAAGCCAAAACAGAAGAACAGGAGAAAACTTTTGTAGTCGCTGCAGTTAAGTATTGTATCTTGGAAGGACTGCAGAAAAAATATCTCTGCGGGTATGCTGTGCAAGATCTCTCCTGCTGCTTCTTTTGCTACGCTTCTGTCACTGGCAGCTCAGCCTAGGAATAACATTTAGAATGAAGCCTGTCTCTGACCTTATGTAACACTTGAGTAACTAGAATTAGAAAGAAAAAAGGTCATTTGTTTGGAGCGCTGGCCTCCTGACCCAGTTGGTGGTGAAGTTTTTTGGGTGTTGATTGAATTAAAAGCTGTCAGTGAAGAGTGCAGGAAATGGTAGCTTACAGGTGCCTGCAGTCTGTTTTTCCCAAGGTGGGCCACACGGAAAAGAACTGACTTTGGTTTTAAGATACCAACCTTTTGGTGTGGCTGGACCTTAATGTTTGCCAAGGCGAAGTGCTGCTCTAGAGTTTTTAATAGACCAACACTTCTGTAAGTCGCTGCATTCTTGTGAAACAGTAGCTAAGGAGTTGGCTAGAAAAGCAATCTGTGTAAGAGTAATAGGGTTTTTGTTGGAGACACATGTAGCTGCCAACTAGCTCTACAGGTCATGTTGCCGTGTGAGCAGTGCAAGGGTATTTTTGTGGCTAATGTACTGGCTATTGTCCAGCTCCATTTGTTAATTCTAAGAATTGTCTTTAAGGAGACAGAGAGGACTTTGTGACCCATAACCATATACACATCCATGTCTCATTCATTTCTGTTCTATTTGGCCACGACATAGCCTGCAAGGAAGTGAGTTAGAATTCAGAGCTTTATACCCCTAGATGACAGAACAAGTGAAGAGCTGTATGTTAGAAACATACCATTAACTTGGTGATAATGGGTTCTCAGCTCTGTGCTACTAGTTTTGTTTTCATGTCCCTGCATGCAGTGGGCCTTAGGGCATTTCTGCTTTACTTTAGAGCTGATGTTCTTTAACCGGAGAGCTGTCACACAACAGCAGTCTCTTCAGAAAGTTCACTAAAAACCAAATCGCGCTATCTGGTGCTCTTCTGCTCAAATGCAGCTGTCTTAAGGGGACTTGACAGAGAATATCTCTGTAGCCACCAATAGCGTTCCAACATGCTCCCTTGAGGTGATCTCCTGACCCCAGGTTAGTAATAGCTGCAAAGATGAGCCATTGTATTTTATCAAGAGCTAAATAGCCTTCGGGAATGGGGTAGGCGTTACCTACGCCCAGACCACATAAACTAATTCTCCTGCTTATCTTGTCTCAGACCGCCCTGGTATGCTGGACTTCAAAGGCAAAGCAAAGTGGGATGCCTGGAATGCGTTGAAAGGTAGGTGTCTGCTTAAAAATTAATCAATAAAACCACTAGGCAAACTAGTCAGAAAAGTGTATGTGGTTCAGCAAGAAGTAAAATAGTGTTGCTTTATAAGACAAGAGTTCTGGAAGTTCAGGGTGCCGTGATAATAAACTTACTTTTAATTACCTCTGCAAGGCAGAAGTAATCTTGGAAAAAATGTAGTGAAAGGGAATTAAGGTGCAAAATGCCCAGCTGGCCCAAGATGTTGCACAAAGGAGAACTGTGGCAGTGGCAGAAACCTAAATCTCTGTTTTCCAGGTCCCAGCCTAGGACCCCAGAGACTGAGCTCTCCCTCCAGTTGTTTGTTTCTTCTAAATCTTTTCTAACTGGAAGATGCAACTGGGCTCTCGGCTCTAAATGAAGAGCCAAACAAATGGTCCAATCTATGGAAATAGGATTTTTCTGGTGTTTGAAGGAGCTGGCACTACATCTGAATGCAGTCTAAGTTGATGGAATAGCTTTCCTGTAATAATTGTGAATGGCGTGAATAGAACTAATACATGGTTTAGTTGCTGTCTATACAAACATAACTGTGCTTTGAAACACTATTTTCTCATGACTGCTGAACATACACTTGGTTAAAATTTTAGTACAAGATTCACAGCCAGGTGGCCTTCTTAGCTTCTTTGCTCTCTGGTAGCGTGCTGCTATGTGCTATAACAAGGAATTGTGACTTACAAGTAAAAGGTATATTAATCTGTAAGAGGTGTCTGACTGCTTCCTCTGTTCTGTCCTTCAGGAATGTCCAAAGAAGATGCAATGAAAGCTTATGTAGCAAAAGTGGAAGAACTAAAGGGCAAATACGGCATCTGAGGACTGGATATAGCAGCCACTTGCACGCTGAAACATGCCTTATTTCTAATACTGTGGAAAACTGGTTTCTGAGGATAATTTTAAATACCCCTGTTTTCATGCCTGTAGTTCAGGGGAAGTTGTGTACCCATCTAATGTACTGACATATTATAAATTCCTTCTGGGAACAAAATCTGGAACTCATTAAAGTGCATTTGGTACTTTAGCTGTTGTGATGGTCATCCCTTAGAGATTATTCTGAGCTCGTCCCCCAATTGCCGTGTTGCAGCTGTCAAACAGTCCTTGGTGAGGCGCAAGCCAGCCTCTCCAGCCGTTGTGCCACTAGAGGGGGCTCGGTAATCTCCGTTTTGTGCAGCGCGGACTTATGTCCAAACCAATCCGGTGGTGTCTGAAAAGAGTGCTTTGCCTCTTTTCTCACGTAGATGAGTGGCAACCCACAAAAGCTGGACCCCCACAAAGGTTATCGTGAAGAGGCAAGGTCTAATGCTGTGTATGCTAAAACCAGGGTGCTTGATGTTTGTTGCCTGGGGCTTTCAGAGACGTAGTCAACAACTGCCAAATCATCTTTCATAAAACACTTCTTGGAGATGTTATTCCCCAACAGCAACGTTAGGCTTTTGGGGAGAAGGCGAATAGTTGGCAGCTGAATGCAAAACCTTCCCTGTGAAAGAAAAGGTTCTGCAGACAGTGGAGTTGTTGATGCCCTTGCTACTGCAGTGCTGGAAATACAGAGTCCTGGTGCTGCTGTGTACTGAGGCTACAGCAAGGGGTGAGTCAAGTTTAGACTGACTTAACGCTTGCAAGGCTGTTCAAACAGAAAGATTTACAGTGATTGTCAGCAAAAGTTTTATTGCAAGACCCACAGTTGTGACCATCTCTAGTAGGCTTTTACCTGGTTTGGTCTGTTGGAGCTGCTGGTGCTGGAAAGGGAGACTTTGCTTTTAAAATGTGACACTGAACTATTCCAGTGTAGAGCACATGAGAATCCAGT